TACCTATTTATAGCCCATTTACAGAATTGGACTCAAAAGTATGTACATTGAATTAACATAAAATACAAAAAAAAAATAAAAAATTAATTCATTAATGTGAATTTATTTAATATAAATACATGTAAAATATAAGATTTTTGTTATGAATTATGATGAATAAGATAAAATTACATTAGTGGTTTGAAGGAAGCAGAATGAATGAAGTATGGTAAACATAATACATTGCTTACATCAAACGAACATATGTTGTTTCCTTAGTTTGGACTCCAAGCGCGTACGCACTACGCACCTTCCTCTGATAGACGCACATCAACTAACTATTCCATTTTCACACCATCTTCTTCCCCTCTCTCTCTCTCTCTCTCTCTTCTCTCTCTCCCTCTCTCTCTCTCTCTCTCTCTTCTCTCTCTCTCTTCTTCTCACCAGAGAAGAAGAGAGAGAGAGAGAGAGAGAGAGAGAGAGGAGAGATTGAACAGCAATTTCACACCATACCGTCAAATTCATGAAAAAATCCGTCATCCGATAGTTCCGTTTTCCCCAAACCCCTGATTTCTTATTCTCATCTATTTCTCCACAAACCCTTCTAAAATCTCGCTTCTTTTGACCTCAATTCGATCCCAATTTATAGCATCCTCGAGGTTAGGGTTTCGATTTTCTGAATTCCGGCGATTTCTACTCAATCTGCGGCTTTCAAAAATTTCTTCGATCGTAAATAAAAAAAAAAATCGAAACTTGATATGGTGTCTGATTCCGTATCGATTTTGACCCCAACCGACGACAACAATCCGATGCCGGTTTCAACAAACGACGACGACTATCTCTCCGATGCAGCAGCCACCATTGCCCTGTTATCCTTCAGCACAGACTCTTCTTCTTCTTCAAATTCCCATCGGAAACCAGCGACGGCCACCGTTATATTCGTTTCCCTCGTTGTCTCCACTTGCGTCTCTCTCTCTGCAGCCGCCGCTTTCGCATTTCTGTTCTTCTACTCTTCACCGGCGAACTCCAATTCCACGGCCGAGGTCTCAAGACCCCTCACCACCCTCAAAAACCCCGTCGTTTTACTGGTTTCGTTAGACGGGTTCCGGTTCGGGTACCAGTTCAAAACGGATACCCCGAATATCGACAGGCTGATCGAGAACGGAACCGAAGCCGAACTGGGCTTGATCCCGGTTTTTCCGACGCTCACTTTCCCAAACCACTACTCCATTGTCACCGGCTTGTACCCTGCTCACCATGGAATTGTCAACAACTTCTTCATCGACCCTCAAACCGGCGATTTCTTCACCATGGCTAGTCACGAACCGAAGTGGTGGCTCGGCGAGCCGCTGTGGGAGACTGTAGCCAATCACGGCTTGAAAGCTTCGACCTATTTTTGGCCCGGGTCCGAGGTAAAAAAGGGTTCTTGGAAATGTCCGAAGGAATATTGCATGTTTTACAATAGCTCCGTGCCGTTTGTGGACAGAGTTGATGCTGTTTTGAACTACTTCGATTTGCCTAGCAACGAAATTCCCTCGTTTATGACGTTGTATTTCGAGGATCCAGATCATCAGGGTCACAAGGTGGGCCCCGACGACCCGCGGATCAACGAAGCTATTGCCCGAGTGGATAAGATGCTCGGAAGGTTGATCAACGGTCTCGAAAAAAGAGGGGTTTTCGAGGACGTGAGTATTGTCTTGGTTGGTGATCATGGTATGGTCGGCACGTGCGATAAAAAGATTATATTTTTAGACGATTTAGCGAATTGGATTCAAATACCGAAAGAATGGATTCAATCGTACACTCCGTTGCTTGCTATTAGTCCACCGTCTGGTTTTTTGCCTAAGGAAGTCGTGACGAAGATGAACGAGGTGCTGAAATCGGGGAACGTGAACAACGGGGAGTATTTGAGGGTTTATCTAAAAGAGGATTTGCTTCGTAGATTGCATTATTCGGATAGTGATAGAATTCCGTCTATTATAGGATTGGTCGAAGAAGGGTTTAAGGTGGAGCAGACAAGATCCGTAAGGCAAGAATGTGGAGGAGCACACGGTTACGACAATGGTGTTTTTTCGATGAGGAGTATTTTTGTTGCTCATGGACCTCGGTTCGGTAGGGGCAGAAAAGTCCCGTCTTTCGAGAACGTCGAGATTTATAATTTGGTTACGGAGATACTTAACATTAACGGAGCTCAGAATAACGGAACGGAGTCGTTTCGACGAAGTGTTCTTTTGCCTGAAAATTGAAAGTTGGTTGTTGTGTTCAATGAAGTGGCTAATTTTGTGTTTTGATACCTATTCAGAGCAGATTTTAGTGTCTGAATTTTTTTTATTTTTTTTTAAATTTGATTTTTTTTCCTCTGGGAAATGTTAAAACGGGGATGTGATAAATATCGTTCGAGCTGTAATAATATTGTTTCGATTTCAACGTGATTTTTTGATTCATTTTACTCCAAATTT